AAAGATGAAATCACGGCAAATCACAGTGCCAGGACAATTCTTATGAACTACTGCTAATGCGGATATTTTTTTTTTTTTAACGCTGTAATTTTTGTATGAGCGGTAGAACAGATTTTGAATATGTGTGAGGTAGAAAGTATTTGATGGTCAAGTATAAGAACGCTTGAAACACAGAAAGCCTCTTTTGGGTGTTGGTATTTGTGGGATGACAAGGGTAACCCGCCAGCTCCCCTGCCCCACCAACGGATTGCTTGTTTCAGCTCTCCATGATGTGGTTCCTATACCACAAGATAATACAACACCAGGCAATGTCCTGCTCAGCATAGGAGATCCAGAAATCTGCTGGTGCAGTCCGTCTGTGTCTTTGGGACCTCCACAAGGGCAGAACTTGGATACCAGGTGTTGTTAATGTATCTTACACAGCACAACCATCAGTTAAAATACACAGTCAGTCTTTGGAGCTATGGTGGGAGTTCTGCCTGTGGTCTTTGCCTGTGTTTACCTCAGCATATAATGCAGCACATGAGCAACAGTTGGTGAAAATTTACGGGATGGAACACGGTGCTGCAGACCCAGTACTCACATAACACATATTAGGGCTTTGCTTTGAGCTGCTGCTCACCTCATACACATACCTTTTGATACCTGGCCCTGCACAGGACCATCCCCAAGAGTCACACCATGCGCCTGAGAGTATCATCCAAATGCTTCTTGAACTCTGTCAGGTTTGGAGCTGTGACCACTTCCCTGGGGAGCCTGTTACAGCACGTAGCCATCCTCTGGGGGAAGAACCTTTTTCTGATACCCAACCTAAACATTCCCCAGCACCACTTCTGATACCCAAACTCTGTGCTTTCTTGTGCCACAGCCTCAGCCCTTAAGCTGGAGAGCCACACTCACTTCTGCAGCTGCTGCTCTGGCCCAGCATTTTGCTCCCAAGTAGGAAACTTCAAATGGAGAAAACACCCTTGTGCAGAACTCTTCCCAGTTTAGGGGCTCCCACACTCCATGGGGCAGCGTGGCCATACCCTCTGGGGCTGAGGAGGGATTCCAGATGCACTTTTCTGTCCCATGCACCCTTCAGGGGAGCATGGGAAAGCCAGCAGATTCCACTGGGTCTTTGCTGCCTGAGCATTTGGCAAAGTTGTGTCAAAAGTGGAGGTAGAACATACAGCAGAGGCATTTAAGTACTAATTAGTGGTTTCAAAAGAGACGATACTCTGATTTGAAAGGAATTGCATGTAAACAAAGCATATGCTGTCATAATTTCTGGAACCATAACACTATTAAGCTCTAATCCAAAATTTAAAAGAAGGTAAGTTTCCTAAAAAAATTGAACTCAAGGCCAAGACAACAAACAAATCTTAAGTGGAAGCTCAGAGGGAAAGAGTGATTAGAATATTGATCTATAGGATGTTGTTGTTACTGGATGGTGTCTGAAAGCCTGGATTGAATCCATAGCTTTGTTAAAAGGACCTGATGTTGCAGTTCTGTTGTTACTTATTTTAGTGCAACTTTCTAAAAACTGCCACCTAGAAGGTTTCTAATAACCTGTTTCCTCAGTAGTCACTGAGGCAGTGCTTTTCATGAAAACAGTTTGTCACTTTGGTGCTTTGGATTATGAGGTAATGGGAAGAAGTCAAGGTATAAATACTAACCATTAGATTCTGTTGTTAAATCAGCATTTGAGTTGTCTGAAAATTCGTGTGCAGCCTCATATTGGACTGAAATGTCACGCTCTAGAATGATGACAGTTACCAGCAGGCAGCACAGCAATATAATTTTGACTACAAAATATGACACTAATACAATTTAGATATGGTGCAAAATGCTGCAGGGTGAGAAAACTGATTTATGTGTGCTATCAAACCCAAATTTTAGTATTTGGTCAGGACAATATATTTCTGTGTTCAGAAAAGTTAGGATTCTTCAGTTTATTTTATAAGACCTTTTGAACATTTTTCTTCCAAATTTAAGATGCTAGAATTGGCTGCCTGTTGGGGCTGAAACTATCCTTACAGATGGTAGCATGCATGTCTGCTTGGAGTTAGGGATGAGGCTGAGGAGAGCAGGTACCTCTCACTTCCTTAAGCCAGTGGCCCTAATATCCACCCACAGACCCTACTGGAATCAGCAGAGGTTGCCTGGGCAGAGCTGTCTCATCATGTGGGCCAGTTTTTGCCAAGCTCCAAGCCTGCAGTGATTTTCTTCAAAATCCTTAAGTGGAGATTGAGATGTTAAGATGACACTTGAGTCTCAATTACCAATTGTCTGAAGGTGTTTTTCTGCAGATTTAGAAATCAGAGGCAGAGCAAGGACCACTGGTAGGTGTACTTGTAGCTAAAAGAACTGTGGATTAGTTGTACAAGTACAATATGTGTTGGGGCAGCTTGCTGGAGAGGCCAGATTTTCAAAACAGAAGCACTGGTGAGGTACCAAAATAAGAGCTAAACACCTGGAAAGATCCAGCCATCCTATTGTCTGCAAGGAAGTGTGATTTGGTAGCTGCAATACAAAGAAGTTGGTTCGTAGAATTGGGAGTATTTTTTTAGAACAGGCAAATTTTTGTCAGTGGAGAGATCATCACCTCATCCTTAGCTGCTTTCTCATTCCCATGCTTGCTGAGTAAACTGCTGCCCCTTTTGACCGTCTTCCACCATCAGATTGTGCTAATCTGGGCCTTGGTGGTGCTTGTTGGTTTGTTTTTAGTTTTGTTTTTAACCTGTATCTGTTTTAGAACAGGACACCAAGAACAGTTACATCATCAGAAATAAGGGGATGATAAAGATGGAGCCTAAGGAAGTGCCTGTGTTGACGAGAGAAATTCAGGCCACACCTTGAATCTCTCAGTTGTCCATTTCATGGAGTCTAATTTATTATAAACACAAAGTAAACTAAGCATATGTGAGTACTGCACAGTTCATCATGGACGTGGCAAGAGACCAGTGGTCTGATTATTTGCCTGATGGTCTCACCACTGTGTTGCAGTGGTTCCCTCCTAGAATGTTAGAATGGAACCAAACAGAATTAACTTAGTGTAAATCCTTTTTGGAAAACAATGGTGTCTTCAAAGCAATACATGCTCATCTTTTCATTATTGCCAATATGCTAGAATGATAAATAAGCAGTACAAACATCCCTTTGTCATAGCTCTTAAATCTGTATAATGACATTTTGTTTTCTCAGCCTTCATGAAGTGTGAAATTTGCATTTTTGCAGTACACCACTTTTTGCTTACCTGAAGAATGCTTTTTAACTGAATGAAGCAGTTACTGAGAATAAGATGTGAAAGAGGGAATGAGCTGAATATTTTCCTTATAAAACAGACAAGGCAAACCAAAACCAGAGGCCTATCACAAACATAGTAGTTTCCTTTTTTTTCCAAGACAGAACACTTCAGAGATAGTTCGACACAAAGTTGAGGACAGCAAAGTCTTTTTCAGATCACAAGATTCTTTATGGTTCATCACATGGCTCTTCCTCATGGACTGGCCCCTTCTTCTGCCTTTGAAAAGAAACTTTCAGAAAAGGAAATGAACGAAGCACAGTTAACCTGTGAACTCCAAGATGCAGTTTTAGTGGATGTGTCATGTGTATCCATGTATTTACATACATAATTCTGTGTGCATTCGTAACATACCTATTTTTCCCCCCACAGATAGTGAATATGCCTAAAAAGAAGACTGGTGCTCGTAAGAAAGCTGAGAACCGTCGAGAACGTGAAAAGCAGATAAGGGCTTCAAGAGCCAACATAGATTTGGCCAAACATCCTTGTAATGCTTCAATGGTAAAATAACCTGAAGTATTTTATATTAAAACACGTTATTTTAAATCGTGTTAAACCGGTGATAATACATAAGTGTATTTAATGCCATAAGAATGTCATTCTTCCTACTGTTCCTCTTTTATATTTAAGCTTACATTTGCATTAGATGTATAATATTGAATAGAAAGTTTGGATGCTAATCATAAGAATTCAGAGTCCCTGTGGGTGTCTGCAAATTTTATATATTTTACCTAGAATGAAAATAATTACCAGTGTTTTATTTCTTCTTTTTAGGAATGTGATAAGTGCCAAAGGTAAGAATTTTTCCCCTTCTAAAACAAGTAGTTTAATATTAATTGGTTTCAAACATTTCACAGGTCTTTTTTAATGCTTGCTTTCTTTTTCTTTTGGCTCCTTCTCCATGTGCCTAGACGACAGAAGAACAGAGCTTTTTGCTACTTCTGTAACTCTGTTCAGAAATTACCCATTTGTGCACAATGTGGTGAGTAGAATTAATGAATGAAAACTGTCCTCAGTCCTGTTTGTGGTGTTAAACTCTCAGTACCTTTGTTAGAGTACCTTTGTCTAGAAGTACCTTTGTGGTTTGTGGAGCAGGTTCTTTTAAATCTGCTGTGAATACCCTCCTTGAGAAGTGACCTTGTTTGGTCATGCACTAACGTGTGTGCCTCTGACCTCCAGAGGTTTGCAAGTCTGGACTTGTCTTCAGCATTTGATCTTTGGAAGAATTTGTCTCACTGCCTTTTGGGTTTGAGAATATCTGACTGACTTTCCCTACACTTACCATGTGGACTATTGTTTGGTAATGGTAGCAAAACTAAGAATGCTCTGACTGCTGGCAAGGCACCAATAAATACTGCTTTTTTAGGGATTATATAATTTCTAGTCAGTTCAATATCAATTAAAGCAACAGTACATTATTCATCTTGCATGGGGTTGTAATGTGGTATACTGCTTATTTTATTTATATGGGCTAGAGGGCTGATGCTTTGAAATTAGAAGAAAAGGACTCCTAATGATGGAGCTTTGCTCTGAATCAGACTAAGATGCCCTTTGTTTTCAAACAGCTGCTTGCTTGCAGGAGATGTTGATATTCATTTCTTACTGAGGTGAATTTTGTTGTTTCACTGCTCCAACACATCCTTGCAGATTTTCAGTTTGTCATTAAGCAATTTGGCTGTTTTGTTGTTTGACTCTCAGAGCTGCTGACATCTGCAGCTTCCAGTGCCTTTGTTGTGACCTGCAGATTCTGAGCGTTTCTGGGAGCCAGGCTGTTAGTGTGCACTGGCAGTGTGTCATCCTTCATAAGTCTTCCTTCTGTCATCATGCAGTGAAGTACTAAAAACATGCTCTCTGTCTTATGATACACATCTGAAGTTGACTCCTGTGTGTTGAGTTTATTTTAATCTGGAGTATGTTTCTAGAGGAAAAGCATTCCTATCAACAACCATAAAATTATATTGAGTCCAAGGGTTTTCCAAACAAAGACCACCAGAGCTGTTTCATGCTTGATCAAGGGGGACAGACACTACAAACCAACAGCACCTTTCTTAGAGAAGTCCCTGAGGGATGGGAGCAAGGTAGCTGTACTACAGTGCTCCAGACTGAGTAATGCCCCCCCAGCCCTCATTGCCCAGCTCAGCCCACCACTGGTACTTCCTCACCCTCCAAGGGCCCTTTGGTAACTGACTTTTGGTGTCATACAAAACTCTGCATACTGGGATTTAAATATTTTCAGAGTAGAATTTGTTTTTTCAGGCCTTGAGTGGGTGGGCAGGGAGCACCTTGCTGTTGGTTTCTCTAAGCAGGCAATAACAGACACACCAAAGGGGTACATGGCAGCACAACTTGAATCAGTGATAAAACTCTACTGCAGTAGCCTGAGCTGACTACAAGATCTTTTGCAGACAGAGTGTGGATCTTTCTGGTAGAGCTATTTATGTCAGAGACAAGGACTAGGGGAAAATTGTCACCCTTGCTGCTTGCTTGTGTCAGAGTGACTTTTAGGTGCAGGCTGTGGCTTTTTCTCCCACCTGTCCCCTGTATTTAAAGTGAATTATTTTTTCTAGAAACGAATCTATGTTTTTTTAAAAAGAAAAAAAACAACAACCAACGACCAAAAAACCCAAGTATCCAAGTACTTGCAAGTAATTAAACACATGGGTTTTTTTCTTGTGCCTTGCACACAGCATGTGCTGCTTTTATGATGGGACAGAACCAGCAGCAGTTTTAAATACAGGTTTTTAAGATATCATGGCTTGACTTTGACCTTAGTTTTGTTCTTTGGTTTGTTTTGACATTTGACATTTTTTGCCGTTGCCTCAAAACATAGAGCAAAACCAACACATTGCCTTTTTATCTCAGTACAGTGGGAAGAGGTTTGGGCTGAAAAGAGACAATAATTTAACCTAAGGGAGATGTGAAAGTGGATTGCAGGATGCAGCAATAATTCAGATATCTTTATTTGCATTATTTTTACCTAGACTTACAGTTAGGCTCAGGTATTTAGTGAAGTGCTGTTCTTATATGAATGTGCATTCTACTGTTTTTTCTGTAGTTTTCTTATGGTTGCTTGCCTTTTTATTTTAAACAGGAAAAACCAAATGCATGATGAAGTCTTCAGACTGTGTCATAAAACACGCTGGTGTGTATGGTACTGGACTAGCAATGGTGGTATGTATACAAAATTAAAGCCTTTTTAGCAGTATGAGGTTATTTTGTGCAAATCTTTCTGAAAGAAAATAGAACAGCTTTATGGAATGGTAGCATGTACCATGCCAAGTTTTTTTCACCCCTTGTTTTACTATAAGAAACTGATTTTTCCCTTATACTGAAAACCCAAATTTTGCATTTTTAGATTCAGCTCCTGCAAGCTCCAACACATCCTGGATGCTAGTGGATCTGTCTTGGTGGCAGGCTCTTAGGCACATGCATGAACAGCATTGGAGCTTACATACCCCATATCCAGTTCTCAGTCTTTATTACAATCCAGGATCATTCTGCAAAGACCTGCAGACTTTTGTTACTGTTGTCTTAGTATTGCAGAGATCATCTGTATCACAGAGAGGAATCTGTTCCATAGTGTTAGGGAGGAATTTTACTTAACATAAACCCTCATTTGGGCTCTTGAAGGAGATAATCATAGCTTCAGGCCTTTGAATTTTTGTTCTAAGAAGGACAAGTTGGTGTCTCCATTCTGGAAAGCAAGGTTTGACATGTGACAGCCTCTAGATTAAGCACTATGTGGACTAAACCTCTGTCCTGTTTCCACCTCCAGTTGACAATCAGCTTTTCTCAGTAACACCGCTTGCCTTTACATTCTGATGTTCTTGAACTCATCCCATGCATTCACTTATGCAGTAGTGAATGCCTCAACAATTAATTTGCATTCACATTGTTTTCTTAGTTTTGTGTGCATGTAATGCACATGGTGGTAAGTCACATATGGGCTGAGGAGGCTTCTTAAATGCTGCATTTAAGGATAGCTGATGTGAAGATCTTATAATTTAATCAAAATGAAAGTTAAAGAGTCTAATTTACTTCTAATGAGTTATTTGATCTTTGCTCTCTGCAGGGATGTGCTCTAATATAGCATGGTTTAAAATTTGAATGAGTGACTTCAGCTGTAAGAAACTATTGGCATTTTTCATGTCTTTTTTGAAATTCCATTTTTGCCAAAACACTGTTATCCTTTGTGGATCTCAGGTTTCAACTGGAGGACAAAATTTTCATGCACACAATTTAAGAAAATAAATGTAAAAGACAGAAAAAGGAGACAACCAAGTTATTGAGCATCATATTTAGTCCTGCAGAAATGAATAACAAACAAGATGAACTGAGGAGCAGCTTGATAGGAATACAGATGTGGTTCAATACTCTCCCAGTCAACCGAAATGAACCCACTGAGAGAAGGGATACGAGGACACATTGAGGACTGAGGAGTCAGAGTGTCTCTCTAGGTATTGCAGAAGTGCAGAGGTGATATCTTTCTGTAATTGCAGGGTGCAATCTGTGATTTCTGTGAAGCTTGGGTGTGTCACGGGAGGAAGTGTCTCAGCACACACGCGTGTATCTGCCCTCTCGCAGATGCAGAATGTATTGAGTGTGAAAGAAGTGTCTGGGACCATGGTAGGTTGCTCACATGTAAAAATAAGAAAATGTAAGTTGTGTTGCTTAGGATACTACACCTGTATTCTTAACAGCGTTTTTATTCCTCACTGATTAGTCCTTGCAAGTATGTTTGTTCAAAGCAAGGATTCTCCCCGTTTTAAAAATAGACGTTATGCAGTGGGGAAACTAAACAACCTGCTCAAGAACATACAGTGCTCAAGTCAGGGATGATTGTGTCATCTAAAGTATAATGGTTCTATCAGCCTAATTATTTGCATAATTAAGCACTGCATCAAATTGCCAACAGAGTCTTCTGCCATTCCCACTCTGTTCTTCTGCACTAGCACAGGTATTTGGATTCCAAATTGCTTAGCAAACCATACTGGTCTCAATTTGTGGAATCCTTTAAAGTGTTTATTCCAAGCTTATATCAGAGCTAAGGGAGTGGGAGGGAAGGAGACTGGATGAGAATATGATCTGATTTAAGGAAAATACTTAACGCTTTAGTTGAATTAAAGAAAAGTACTAGAAGTAATACTCTTTTTATATTTATGCTGTCTTGTATTGTAGGAAACAAGGTATTTGTCAGTGTAAAAATGGATGGCAGTGCCTAACTTAGGACTTTGTTGAAGCATTAGTGAGGCCAGGGAGACCTGGTCTTCCGTCAGAATTACTGCCTAAACTGTTTGCAGAGCAGAACTTGATGCCTGTGCCCATTGCTGATTATTTTGCCTTGATAAATCTTTCAGGAGGCAGAATATTCGCCTGCTCTTTTTGCCATGATTTCCTCTGTGAAGATGATCAGTTTGAACATCAAGCCAGCTGCCAAGTTCTGGAAGCAGAGACGTTTAAATGTAAGTTAGTTATTCATAGTCCCTTTCACCACAGCTAAGCAGGGTCTCCACTTGCTTCCTCTGTGCTCCAGAATACTCTGTTATCACCTTTCCCAGCTTTTGCCTTTTTCGTATGTGCCAGCTCTTGGTATTCAGTTATCCAGACTGGAACTTTTGTCTCTGACCTTCCTCCATGCCAGAGTGAGTATACATGGCAGTTGTTTTCCTGCCAGGCTCTTACAGGCCTCCCATGGGAAGCTGCCTTTGCAGGAGCCAGCAGTCTCCAAAGTTGGAGTGTTGGCAGTGGCCAGGACTGCAGCAAAACAGCTGCAATTGCTGATGCTGCTTTTTTACTCCACAAAGCTCTGCAGGCAGGAGGAGCTGTCTTCCACTCTTCTGACCATGTGATGAGCTATTTCTAGATACCTGTTCCTCGTGGAAAACAGCTGCCCCAAACAATGCCACCTCTGTTAGACTGGCTAAACTTTCCCACGTTGCTGTGGAAGGCCTGTGTGTTGATGAAGAGTTGGCAGCTGTTGAAGTCCTGAGGAAGGCCATGACTCAGTCAGGAGCCATCCTCTGATTCAGGGAGACACGGTGAACACAGAAAGAAGTGACAAAAATAGTCCAGAGCATGATTTCAGTTTTCATTTCCTCATTGACCAGTGGACATGTGTATCAGTAATGTATCAAGTGTTGATACATGTCCACTCTTGCTGGGTAAAGAACAGGTAGCTGAAGACTTTATGTCCTTTTGAACTTTGATTAATTGTGTGGACAAAACTGAAACTGGTGTTCATAAGAGGACATGATGGCAATGCCTGACTTTGCTCATTCACTGCTCATCTCTGGCTCAAACAGGGAAATTTCAAGGGAAGTTAAAAAAAACCCCACAAAATAAAACACCAACAAGCCAAGACTATGCATGTTTGAAATAACTAAATTTTTGTAGAAGTATTCCTTCTCTATCCACCATGAATGACTATTTAGTTTATCTCATGAGACATTTGTTTGTCCTTTCTAAAACTTGTTTGCCCGTATTTCAACTATAAAGTTTTTTTCAATCATTATTGTAGAAATTCAAGGTGCTCTTTATCTTAAGACTATTTTCTTTAGAACTGACCAATCTCTTGTCCTAATTTATCTCTCCTGGTTTAGAATGTTTGTTGATTTCAATGTTCTAGTTGGTGTCTGTAGAAATCTCTTATCTCTTTTTCATCTCCCATCCTTTTGTTCCCAGCCAGCTGTTCTCTGAGCCTTCCTTAGCTTCCCTTGATGTATTCTGCCTGAATACCTTCCTGCATAGCAATGTTGAAGCAGCAACAGCTGTTCCACAAGAATGTTTTTTCAATGATTGTTGGAAGCTTTTAATTCACAGATGTGATCACACCCTGAATAGGGCAAAAGTTTTTTTGAGTTTTTTTTCACTGTGTTCAATGTTTTGTGGCACAGCACTGACTTGGAAAAGATACAGGATTTTTATCAGTGTGTGGTAGCAAGATTATAAAACCTGTACTTTTACAGAATACAGAAACTTTAAATGTGGTCATGCAATTGTAGTCTAAATCCATTCTAGCTGTGAAAAGGGTAGTGTTACTTCCCATCACTATCTGAGAGAAGTTTTTTAAAGTGCAGATACTCAAGAAATGACAAATATAAATGCATTATCATTTCCATCTTTAAGCACATGACAGAGCTCTAAATCCCGTGGCTGTCCTGCTCATGTGGAGAACTCGTGATATTTATTCACAAACTTCGCTGTCACAGGGGCAAAGCAAGGTGAAAGGGAATAAATACTCACACACAGACTGATAAAATACATATTATTGCTTCTTGAGGAGTAACTATTCACCCAGCTTCACGTTTCTGCCAATTCCTGAGTGTTTGCCTTTGCTGTACTCCCTCTAGTGGAATAAAAAAACAATTTGAAGCTCAAGACAAGTTAGATTTTGGGCACAGATTCTGCTCCTTATAGCTTGTGTGCCAGGTCCAGTTCTTTAACACAGATAGACTTTTGTATGAACTTGTGTGCAATCAAGTGCATTTCCAGATGATATGACAGAAAATATGGAACATAACATTTCTAGCTTTGGAAGTTTGCAAGCTTTAAGTGTTCTCACATCGCTAGCACTCCTTCTTTTGATGTTGTGAGAAAAGGAGAAGCAAGATGTTGCTTAATACCAAATTTCTTCTGAAACTTCTGGTTTTAAAAGTTTGGAAGCTCAAGAAATAATTAAACTTTTTCCCCTCTTGAGGTTTTTTTTTTTTTTGGTATCAGATTACATTAATGCCATGAGGCTGAGGGTTGAAAAAAAAAAATCTAGTAAAAGAGTACTATATGGTAAAATGGCTGATTCACATTGCCATCGTACAGTTATGTCAGGGAATTAAAACCAAATGCCTCAGTAATGGTATTACATACTTTTACAAGGTTTTAAACACATCACAGGTCTGCAGTTTCCAAGTACTGAATTTGACATATTGATTTTCTCCAACAGGTGTTTCCTGTAACAGGCTTGGGCAGCATTCGTGCCTGCGTTGTAAGGTAAAGACAGTTGTGGGTAGCTGTGATTTTAGGTTCATTCTTCTTGGTCTCCAAGGCTGGTATCAGGTCTTGTCATGTCTTCCTCTCCATTATTAAAAAAATGTAATATTTTTGTATCATATTTTAGGGGGCAGACCTCTGGGGGGCAAAAGGTCTTTTATCTGTGCTTGCCTGTTAACCACTAGCAGGTGTTGTGCATCATTATGCCTGCTGAGGTGATCTTCACTTTGTCCAACCCTCTTAGTTTAAATTGGGCCTGTACCATGTTGGGTCTTTAAAAAAACAAAACAACAAAGCAAATCCTTGGCTTTGAACAGAATCCAAAGCTTTGTAATATGTTTTGATACAGTGTGGATCTACAGTCATTAAAAAAGTTGTTGTTTTTTTTAAACAGTCAAGTTTAACGGTCAATCTGAGCAGAAATTGCTGCAGCCTGGATCCAACAGAAATAATCTCTACAGCTAATCCAGTTTTACATGTGAACAGACTAACTTGTTGACGTCAGGCTCATGGTTTTACACACTCAGAAATAATTTTGTATAAAAAGTTCCACCTGCTTCATTGTCAGCATCGCCCAGATTTCTCCAGATGCTGGTTCATTGCCTGCTCTTACTCTTCTTACCCTCCATATGTTTCCCTGCACTCTCCCATGGCATCCATGGCATATTCCAAATTGTTCCTTTCTCCGGGTATCTTCATTGCACCCTGGTGCTCAACATGTGAACTTTCCATCTCTAATTCTTGCCTTTAGGCCACTGCATAATGTTCTGGCAAATATCTCATTGTGTTTTATTTAGGCTTGTCAGTGTAAGCCCAGGTTTGCCAGGATCCTCGTGGGCAGCACTACAATCCAGCCCTCGAGTACATTACTTTCTCTGCTTGTTTTTTGGCACTTTTATGCAGCCTCTTCCCCAGGAAGCTGTGGAACTACATTCAGCACAGAGTGGTTGTGCTGTGCACAGACCCACATCCACTGCAGATAGACCTCATTACATTTTAATCCCAACCAGAAAACCCTGCTGCTGTTAAAACAGGTTTTCTGCTTGCTTCTTGCTGAGGAATATGCTTCTATGATTAAAACATTTGGCCTTTTTATTCTCCCTTCAACCCACAGGCTTGTTTTTGTGACGACCACGTGCGAAGTAAGGTCTTCAAGCAGGAAAAAGGAAAAGAGCCTCCTTGCCCTAAATGTGGCCACGAAACTCAGCAGACAAAGGATCTGAGCATGTCAAGTAAGCCAGCTTCTCTAGCTAACAAGCCATGCAAGTGCCATTGGTGACTACTTTTCTGCCTAGGAACACTGAGTAAAACCTGGTTACTTTTAATTGTTTTGCACAGCTTTGCTGCATTTGTTTTGGGAAGAACTTTCTGAATTATAGAATTGAGCAGTCTCAATCATTAATTGATTCCAATACAGTGAAAGCTTTTGTTTAGTTTAAGATTTTAGTTGTGGAAAAAAATGAAAAAAAAAAAAATCATGACTTAAATCCTTATTTCATGTACAAGAAGCTGATTAATGAATTTCAAAATGTGTTTTGATATGTATACAATCTACCCCAACCACTCTTGAATAAATCACCATATGTATTGTGTCTGCAAAGCACACATCCAGTCGCAGGTCTTCTTGGCTAGAGTACCAAAGGATTACCCTAAAAACCTAAGACGTACTTGGGGGGCAGTTCCTGTTTATACAGACTTGGCTGCACTTCTGTGTGCAGCAGCAGAAAGATTCTGTTAGAGTAAGGACTGAATCTGGAAATGTCAGATTTAGAAAAAGACTGCCTAACATCGTGCGCTCTTCGAGTAGTGAAAGAAGGGATAGAAAGGGAACGTGGGATTGCTGTTGAGGGTGGGAACATGATGGTTTTTCTCTGCCTGCAGCCCGTTCCTTGAAGTTTGGCCGACAGACTGGAGGAGAAGATGCAGATGGAGCTTCTGGTTATGATGCCTACTGGAAAAACCTCCCCTCCAGCAAGACTGGAGGTGACCGTGAGGATGAATATGATGAATACGAAGCAGAAGATGATGATGAAGATGACAATGATGAGGGAGGGAAGGATTCAGATTCTGAGACCACGGATGTCTTCAGCAATTTGAATTTAGGAAGGACCTATGCTAGTGGGTATGCACATTATGAGGAATCAGAAGATTAAGCCTAGTATGCTGGCAAGCTAAAAACACTTGGAAGGAGCCAAGCAATGCTTCACTGAGTTGTGTACACGCCAGTAGGATAGCTCTATCAGGTACTTACATATCAAAGTTAGAGAATTAACAGTGTGGGACTTCTGCTGTAACTCCAAGGGGGACTTTTCTTTTATATGAACCAATGGTTCTGGGACTGGGGGAAAAAATCAGAATATTTTTATTCCCCTAAGCAGCAGAAGGTTGTGTCCCTGAGTTACTGAGTATAATGGTTCAATGCCATTTTCTCGTATCAACATGGGAATGTGGGAGAGCTGTAGAACTTGCTTCCATTTGCTCATCAGAGATTAAGTTATTTTTTACAATCATTTTGTTAACTGATTTCATACATTAATGCAGTGGTGGGTTGGTGACTGCGTTTTTTTTTTGGTCTGCACAATAAAAGTCAACTGCATTCTCTAATGAACTGTCATAAATATTGATCTCCCTTGAATAGCTGGAAAGCAGGTTGTGTACAAAATGTGAATTGACACTAAAATAACTTCCTTGTTTATGTAGGTATGGCAGATTAATGTATTTTTCTGTGTACTTGCCCATCAGCCTTTCAGCATTTTTAGTGTTAGATATTAATTGGTGGGGCTATATGCAGTCATTACAAGTTCACCCCAGATAATCAAAACTTTTATGGCAATAAAAATGTTCATGTATCCTCTCTGCCACAAAAATCTATAAGGCAGTTTCTCATTAGATCAAAAAGAGACTGTTTTCTTCTGTGCCCAGCCTTCAGCTCTTCTCCTTGCATATGAAACACACACAGAATAAAATTAGATAGGAAACAACCCCATATATGAATTGATAAGGTGAGAAAACACAGCGAGGTTCAAAGTGCTGGGTCCAGATATTATTCTGTGCAAGGGTGCTGGTACAAGGCAAATGATCAACACATCTGAGCAAGGAGGTGACACCTGCAGTAGTGTTTGCAGTGATTCTGGTTTGAAAGTCAACGTGTTAATTACCAATGTACAGGTCTAAGTGGTGGAGTTTATTTTCCTTCTTTAGGGGAATGTTTTACAGCTGACAGATCACAACAGCAGGGCAGCCACCTAAAGTGCTGCTCCAGCTTTCTAAATGCCATACTTTAATGCAAGAGAGCCATTTCTTGTTATCTGTCAAATATCTGAACTGATTATTGCATTACCTGCTTTTGTGGTGCTTTCTCTACTGTTTCTTAACAGCTAAAGGTCATATGTTGGCAGAGCATATCCCTTTGATAATAATTTTTAGTGATGTTAGGACTGCCAAATGAACATTTCCTAACAAAACAGGGTTGGAGAACCTGGCATCAGTATTTCCCTCCTAAATGCATCTTGTACCAAATGCATGAAAGACAAGAGCTGGAATGCATCCAAGACAAAAACAAACTGACAAAGAGCACAACTTGGATATGGCACCTAAGGGGAAAAAAGTCTGTGGGAGAAAGGAGCACAACTGGTCAGTGCATGCCTTCAGAACTGGAGAGGAAATCAGTTAATGCACTGTCTGAAAGCCAAATCCCCTTCAAATATTGGAACTCCAGGGCCCTCCAATTTCATGTGTTAGCGAAGAGCCATCTTAAATGATGTACCTGATAGATGTCTTGATTAGTCTTTTGCATAACCAAATTTGAAATGAGGGAAGCAGAATGCCTGCCAGTTCAACACTGATCACTTATTTGTGAAATTGGCACCTGCAAGAGAATTTCTGCTCAACTTTATATGGTCCAAAGACTTCCAAGTTGAGTCCATCTGGCTGGTCTATTCCAGCAACAATGCCAGTTTTTTATCCTGGCTGATGTTCCAAATACAAAACAATTATACATCAGTACAAAGTCTTATACAGAACTGAGGAAAGTATATGTTTCTGCATATATGTAACATTATAGCTGCTTGTGTGTAATTTATTAATATTATTTCTTAAAATGCACAAAATTCCTCTTTAAGGTTTTTGGCTCTTGAATTAGGTTTTTCCCTTATGAAATCTGCTGTCACTGGCAGTGCCAAAGGCTGCCATCATAACAGAATTAATCATCATAATCAGAGCAAAGAATTATTCATTTTCTCATTGAAATGTCCTTCCACTGATCCTTGCAGGATCAATACTCCAGAGCTAATGTGTGTTCCTATGATCCCGTTGTAAGTGCTGCCTGCAGCAGATGCTCAGGCTACCTGCTGTAATTTAGCAAGGTCACTGCTCAGTGGACATTTATTTACTTTTTCTTTGTGCTGCTGCTTATACCAGTGAAAATGCCTGTGCTGTCAACCTGTCTGGAAATGGGGCCCGGGTATTAGACCTGCAGTGCCTGGCCTTCCAGGGGTCAAAACAAGCAAGTTAAAGCTGCTTTAAAGTAATCCAGTGGATTCAGGCTAGAACAGACAAACGTGCCTGTGTTTTCTACGAACAGAGTCAGTTTGTGGCAGGACAGGCAGGATATGATGCACTTTCTGTGCTTATTTAGTATAGCTAAACACATGTGGTCTGTTGGGGATAGGCCCTCAGAGCTTGTTTTCAGAGAAAGTGCATAATTTTGGTTATCTGGAGGTAAATTGCGGGAACAGGATGGAACAGAAAATGAACATGTATTCTGGCTTCATTGAAAAACAGGTCAGGGACAAACTCAGTCTTGTTGGCTCCATTTTTCTTTATTGCTGTTGGTCTGCTTTGAAGTGTCTTGGAGGAATGTCAGTAGGGCACTGACAGGGCAGTGTGCCATCTCTACACCTGAAAATGTAAGTTAGTGCTCAGCTTACATCTTCCTCTGAATTCAGCAGCTGGTTTAGCCCTTGCTAAATCCGAAGATGATATGCTGTGGTACTGGTGATGTACATTTTACAGTTCACAGGATCTCAAGCTATTTTAGGCACTGCCACAATCCACCAAGTACTTCCAGGTGACTGCTAAGCTTCTATGAAAGTAACTGGAGTGCGGGGTGTGGTGCCTGGGCTCACAAAAAGCCCCTGCATAACTTCATGTTTTTAAGCCTCCAGTACTGCAGAGTATGCTTCCTGGTGGGGCAAGAGTAAGGGAAATAAAATCCTGAGATTTTAAGTTTCCTTCGAGAATCCTGTCCCTGATTCAAGGAAATTCTGAGCTGCAGGAAGTATAGTTCTAACATGTTTAGGAACACCTGCGAGTTACGTGTAGCACTCCAGAAAAACAAGACCTAGATAAAGTCTTACACTTTATTTTTTTTCCATCTCTGTGATGACCATTTAAACAAAACTTAAGTAGAACTTGAATCAAAATCACAGTAACATTTATTGTGCCTGTAGATCCTCAAAAACAAGAGCTCTGGCCACCTCTGTAAGGTCTTCTCTTGCATTTGTTTATTAAGGTGACAGCACCAGCTCATTATGAATTCATTGGGTTCTCCTGTGGATTTAACGCATTTTCCTTTGTACTCAGGTATAATTTAGCACCTGTGACTGAGAGTCTTTTGGTCAATCCCACATTGCTGATTTTGTTTCCAGAAAATTAATGGGAAGATCATTATAATGTACTGGACAGCTGAAAAAGTAGTTGCTGGCGTGTCACAGGGAGCTGGAGGACAAGCTTCAGAAGTACATGGAGTCCTATTTGTTCAGGAAGAAAGATATTAGCGTGTCTTACAAGACATTACATGCATCTGTCCAGGTCCTGATCCTATTTGCAGAGGAACCAATGGCAAAGTTCCCATTTATTCAAGTGGGAACAATTCAATAATCTTTAATATCTACAGTTCATCTTAAATGTCAGGAGGTGTTATAGAACACAACATGAGCATAAGCTGAAATGGGGAAGATGAAGCAAAGTTTAACATGAGGTTAATGTGCTCCCATAGCATAAAAGTATTTGTTCTAAATTTCAACAGTTCCACTGGAAAGTGCTCTCAAGACTGAAAGACACAGCTACTTAAAGTGGGAAGAGACAAGATTCTAGAAGATGGAGAAATTTGATTACTCATCTCCTGATGAGCTCCTGCACCTAGTTCATAAATATTTGCTAAGAGCTCAAAGCAGTTAGGACATAGACAAATTTTATCATCTCTGCTTTGTAGGTACATAAATAGAAAACATAGTAATGGACAAAATCACAGCCTGAGTTGTCCAGTTGGCAACAGCCCTGGACTCTCCATCCCCTACCCATGAACCTCCAGATTGGACATATTTTATAACTAATGATATTCCTTTATTAAGAGTATGTGTGTTGTAATTAGCTACCACACACTGGAAATTTGAAGCAGGGCCTAGTTTTTAGCTTCCATAGGCAGGAGAGACAAAAATCAGCAAGATATCATCACAGGCATGGAGAATATTCCCTTTCCTAAACAAGGAGCAGATTCACAAGCCTGTACTTCACTGTGGAAGGGGAAAAAAATAAATTGCATTTCAATCTCTCACCAAATCAAGCCCCTACAGATAAGAGTGCAGGTTTGCTGTTAGGTTACAACATTTTATAACATCCCATTTTTAAGTACTGCACAGTGTTTGTTGGAAAGCAGAACAACTTCAAAGCAGGAGAAAGCCTATTGGAGCTATCTCTACTCCTACTATTCTCTAACACTGTAGGTATCCTAAAATGTCTGCTGCATCCTTTTTAACCCCCACTTCTTCAGCCAGGGATTCTTCCACAGTGTTCCCCAAACTTAACTGTGATTGGAAGTTCACTTTTATTTCCTTCTGAAATGAGAAGTACCGAGTGCCTCAGGGCCCAAGTAGTGTTTTCACTTCATCTTGATGTTACATGACATCTGTTGTAGATTTTCACTTTACAAAACCACTAAGTTTTTTCTTAATTTTTTATTAGAGTGTTAGAATGCCAAAGACCCACAATTTCTTTGGCAGATAATACAAGTATTTTACTGCTATAGTTGCCAGTTGCTGCTCCTACTGGTTTTTTTTTTTGGCATAGAGAAAGAGGCTGATTATTTTAAAAGTGAATCCCTGCTAGTCAGGCATATAAACCCTTGGGCTGCCTCCAGTCTGATTTAAATTCACCACCTTGCTTTGATGGTAGAGACAAAGATGAGCCCCTTAGAGGTTTTCCCACCAGCAGGAGAGGTGCGTGTGGACCTCACCCTGGATGTCAGCATCAATTCACAGTGTGTGCTCTCCTGCTACTTCAAGGTGGTAACAACTGAAACGTGACCTTTCACTAGACTACTTTAGAAGGCTGCAGAAACCCAAATGCTGCAGCCTCTACCTCTTTAAACACGTACAACCTGGAAAAAAGCTATAAAAACCTTACAAAGCTGAATCCCATGAGAAGGTATTTGCACTCTGCTTCTTCCTCAGGGGTAACAGAATGCGTCCACAAGCTTGTAGAGAACTTATTATTACCATTTCTACCTTATTAAAAAATAATATCTATTGAGCATGGATTTAAGCAAGAAAAAGAAGCAGAAAGTTAAAGATGTTACCCTATCAACAGCTGAATGACAAAGCCGT